AGCCTCTTTCTTTTCTCACTTTATCTCTTTCTCTCCGGACGGGCACATGAGCCCAGGCCGGCGGCGTGGGATGCAAATCCCTGTGCCTCGGACTTGGCTGCCAGTGCTCGTGATAGGTGTATGCACCACACATGGTGAGCACCTTCTCCCTCTCATGTGTGTGTGTGTGTGTGTGTGTGTGTGTGTGTGTGTGTGTTCTGTGTGTATATGTATGTGTCTGTGTGTGCCAGACAGGGTTTCCTGTAGCTCAAGCTGACCTGTTCCTCCCAAGTGCTGGGATTCTTTTTTTTTTTTTTTTTTTTTTTTTATTTATTTAGGTTTTCTGAGACAGGGTTTCTCTGTGTAGCCCTGGCTGTCCTGGAACTTACTCTGTAGACCAGGCTGGCCTCAAACTCAAAGAGATCTGCCTGCCTCATCCTCCTGAGTGCTGGGATTAAAGGTATGCACCACCATCACCTGGCCTGAAATTATTATTGTTTTTTATTTATTCATTTATTTTTATGTGTATTGGTGTTTTGCCTGTGTGTGTATGTCTGTGTAAGGGTGTCAGGAACTGTAGTTACAGTTATAAGCCACCATGTGAGTGCTGAGAATTGAACCCAGGTCCTCTGGAAGAGCAGTCAGTGCTCTTAACCTCTGAGCCATCTCTCCAGCCCCGTGAGATTATTTTTGATGCCAGTTTTCAATCTACTTCCACCCTATGGTGCAGTTAACCAAATACGGGGGTTAGCTCACTGGAAATCATATGGATTTGATTTTTAAAAACAAACATTACCAGTTTTTTTTCAAGACCTTGAATAACTGGCTGACACTGCACTTCCTGGGGGTCAGTTCCCTGCTGCAGCTAATCACCCAGGGCAGCAGCTCTCGACCTGGAGATCAAACGACCCTTTCACAGGGCTCACTTAAGACCATCAAAAAACATATATTTCTGATAGTCTTAGGAACTGAGACACCACTCCTGTCTCCAGGCAGATATGCCACATGCAGAGATGCCACATACAAGTACCCAGCATGATGACATCATCACACCAACCCCATCACATACACCCCAAACAAATATAGGTATATGTGACAGGGTTGGCCACATAATGTATGTCTTAGGGTTTCTATTGTTGTGAAAAGACATCTTGACCACAGCAACTCTTATAAAGGTGTGGAAGACCAGCTCCCACATTTTTATGACAGGAAAGTCTTGAAGAGAGAGGGATAAGAGCTTGAGGTAGAAATATAGAGGTAGAAGGATAGAGGGGAGAGAAACAGATAGAAACACAGGATAGCCTCGGGAGGGCCTGGATCTTTATCCACTGGCCCCTTCTGTCTCATCTAAAGGGCTTTTTATAGGAATGCCAAGGGGTGGAGCAAAGACCTCCCCCTAGAACAGCAAAGTGCAAACCCTTCCAATCACCTAGTAATCATACATGTGGTCAAGGAATCCTCTAATGCAGCCCTGATGGGTAAAGCAAGTTCAGATCTCACTAGGAAACCTTTGTGGGCCTCCACATAAAGGAAAACATTCAGTTGGGGTGGCTCACTTACAGTTTCAGAGGTTTAGTCCCTTATCAACATGGCAGCATGCAGACAGACACGGTGCTGAAGAAGGAGCTGAGAGTTCCACATCTTCATCCAAAGGCAGCAGGAAGTGAACTGAGTGTCACACTGAATGAAGTTTGAGCATAAGAAACCTCAAAGCCCACCCCACAGTGACACACTTCCTCCAAAAGGCCACACCCACTCCAACAAGGCCACACCTCCTAACAGTGCCACTCCCTTTGTGGCCATTTTCTTTCCAAACACCACAATGTACTTATGTGAACCAGTCACACATATGTAAAGAACAGCTACTGTGTTGAAAGCAACAGTATTGGAGGTAAAACAACACATCATGAATTATAATTACTGGGCAAATGTAAAATCATGGACGGTAAAATCATCAACTACTACAAAAAAATCTGCACCATGGAGTTTAGTTCTTTTTATATTCAGCTGTGGTTGATGAGAATACTTCTCCCTTGGGATAGGAACAGGTATATTATATTTTTAAAAAAACCAGCACAGAGAATGGTTAATCACAGGAACCTTTAATGAACTGTATTGACTGAACTATGCCATAAACCATCTTTTGTATTATTAACGCTATTATTATATATTATTTTCATTAGAAAACCATCCCTTGACAATGGATCATATAGAGAAAAATGTTAAGAAAAGAAAACAGCCGGGCAGTGGTGGCACACGCCTTTAATCTCAGCACTCAGGAGGCAGAGGCAGGTGGATCTCTGTGAGTTCGAGGCCAGCCTGGTTTACAGAGCTAGTCCAGGAAAGGCTCCAAAACTATAGAGAAACCCTGTCTCGAAAAACCGAAAAAAAAAAAAAGAAAAGAAAACATAGTGAGGATTTTTTACTGTATGTTTTTACCTCAATAATTACAGCAGAATTGAGAAAAGGCAATGTGTTATTTGTTGTGAGGTTCTACCAGCCAAATCTATGAAGCCAAACAAACTAAAACACCATTTATGTTGTCGTTGTTTTCGAGACAGGGTTTCTCTGTGTAGTTTTGGTGCTTGTCCTGAATCTCTCTCTGTAGACCAGGCTGGCCTCGAACTCACAGAGATCCACCTGCCTCGGCCTCCAGAGTGCTGGGATTAAAGGTGTGCACCGCCACTATCAGGCTTTAAAATGACATTTTGATAGCAAGCATCTGAGACTTGCTGGCAAGGAAACCAACTTCTTTAGAAGCAAAGCTGATGGAATAAGAAAGCCAGACACTGGTAGCCAGTGTGAGAGCCAAAGTTACAGTTTAAGTTTTAATTACTATGCCTAAGAGATCCATGACACAAAAATGCCTCTGATCTGCAAGCCCCTTGCCCAAGGACACACAGTTCCTTAAATGCTGGAGGCTGTTGTTTACGGGAGAGAAAAAGCCACATGTTCTCACTCCCCTAAACAAGTCTATTTGACCCATCTGCAACGGATGTGTGGGCAGAGGTTCACAGGATGGAGGTATGTCAGGATGTATGCTTGCCCCTGATTGGACCCGATGGGAAATGCAATGGATTATGGGTTTTCCTTCTCAAGTCACTACAAACTGTGATTCTGGACCATTTCCTGGGAACCTGGGTCTGGACCTGGCCAGAGCCCATCCACCTGGCCAGTATTTAATTAAAGTTTGCTTCAAATTTGGCTTTGAACTGTGGTAGTGGTCTTATTCTTTATTGGTAGGATTAACAGCTGATACCAGAAACAGAATGTAGCAGCTGTTGAAGCTTCATATTCAGAGCTCGTGGCATTCAGAATCGTCAGAGCTATGAAACCTCACACCATTGCTAAGGATTTACTTTTGCCAGTAACCAAAGACGGTGTTCAAGTTATGATCAGAGACAAGTTTGCCATGCAACTGAGTGCAGTTTAGTTTCCTTATCTAAGGACATTGTCCGCAGAAGAATAGATGACATGTCTGCTGACATTCTTGATCAGGTAATCCAGGAAATTTAATCTGCTCCACTTCCAATACTTAGTATCCAGCTCGATGAATCTACAGACTTTGCAAACTGTTCAGTTACTGGTTTAATGTGAGGTATAGTTGATAAGGGCTATCACGTGGTCAGGCAGACGCCATCTTTGCTAAGGTCAAAGACAGGTCATATGACCTCACTGCTATCTTTACTAAGGGCAGCAAAAAGCCACTTCCTGTCAGTGGCTTGAGGACGGGCGGGGCTCCCGGCCCTCTAGCCAGTCGGGGTGGAGGTACAGTCTCTACCTGGCATTTGTTTCTCCACGGCAGCTCGTGTGGGTGGGGCCTGCAGACATATGCACTCCCCTCTGGGGCATCAGCAGATGCAGGCAACATCATTGTAAGATTTTAAAATTTCAGATTTTAACATTTAACATTTCAGCTGTGCAGTCCTTGCTGACTGCGAGAGAAATCGGCACAGACAGGAGGTTGGCTGCGCCGTTTCGTTTTTAACTGAAGTGAGCAGCTACGTACGATGTCCCTTCTGATCCCCACACTCTTCTGCGTGGGTCACTGTGGAGACTGAGGCCATCTTCCCATCTTACATTAGTGCACCAGGACCCAGAAATGCCAGCACGGTTTCCTGTCCAGACGAGATCACAGGGATCAATGGACAAGGTCCTTGCCGGGGTCCCAGCTCCCTTGAGTGTCCTCTCCCAGCTGACCTCCACAAAACGCCCTGCTGATCCTGAGTGCTTGCCCCTGCTCCCTAGGGGCTTCGGAGCCAGGCACCCCAGCTCCTCCATGAAGAGCCCGTGATCTTTCCCGTCCTGCAGGCTGTCTGCCCCCCTGTGTGCTGTGGGCTGTTTCCTATGACCCAGTAGGAAGCCGGGCAGCGTACAGGGACTGCACCACCTGTACCCGCTCCCTGGTCCCGATGCGGTCCTGGGGATGTCTGGATGTATGGAGGAAGCCATTCTCTGGGTGGTGACAACAGCGGTGTTCCCGCTGACAAGCCACCTCTGGTCTGAGACTTGCTGTGCTGTCTTCCATTTGGGACAGGGGTGTAAAGTCCTTTGAGAAAACACCAGTTATCTGCTGGGTCACCTCCTAGGGAGATGCCACACAGTTTGAACCCCACCGAGTCTTTCTGTGCTGTGTCTCCACCACTCGGCTCACAGGCAGCACACAACATCTCCATTTCTGCCAGGCCTTTCTTAGCTGCCCTGCTAGAAGCCTGGACACAATGGGCATTAGAGAGCCAGCCTCGGGGCAGTGTGAGCAGAGGCTGTGATCTCACTAGAAACGCAGCCCATCTTTAAGAACAATGTGGAGAGGCGTGTGATGGGGCACTCCTGTAGTCCCAGCACTCAGGAGGGTAAGGCTTAGAGATCAAATGTTCAAGGCCTGCCTGGGCTGCACGGTGAGACCCTGTCTCAGAAAACAAGCCTCACCTGTGAGACCCCCGGGTTTAATACCTAACACTTAAAAATAAAAAAAAAATAAAAAAAAAGGGAAAAACTAAAACCAAAGAGAAACATGGAAAAGCATTTGATGCCGGGCTGGTTTATTTCCTTCTGGCTATGACACTCAGTGGCTTCCACAGGCTTGTCACACTGGCCCTCCTGCGGAGAGGAGCCACCCACCAGCTTGGAGGAAGTCCATCTCAGAAGAGGAGGCCTATGCCACAGAGTCCCCCAGATCCTGGCGGGCAGTGGCAGGAGGAGGCTGCACATCACCGTAGCTGAAATCGTGGCCAACCAGCAGTTCCCCCTGAGTGATGCCACCGAGGCAAGTGTCCTCACAAGCTCTGGTGCGCTGTGTGCCTCCCCTCTCCAGGGTGGCCTGGAGAAGGCCTCGCATCCGGAGGTTTTCCTTGGCAGTGGACTCCAGAACCATTTCAAGCTCACCTTCCATTTCTCTGAAAAAAAGGAGGAGGAGGTGGGTTGAAAACAGTGCAATGGGAAAGGAAGTCGGGGGATGGGGGATGGCTCAGTTAGTCAAGGACCTGAGTTTGGACTTGGGCTTGCTCGTCCACTGGTCTGGCTAGCTGGAGAGCTCTGGTCTAATGAGAGCCTGTCTCAGAAACCAGGGGAGAGTAACTGTGGAAGACCCCGATGTCAACTTCTGGTCTCCACACACATGTGTACGTGTTTGAACACCTCCCCCCCACACACACACACACCTTTTTAAAAAGAAAAGAAATTCCAATAGCTCATATGAACCCTGAAGTAGTAAGACCTCCAGTGACAGGAGAGAGAATTTTGAAGGTTTCACCACAAATCACCACAAATTCAGTGAAGTAGAATTAAGGTGGAAAAGACCAACTCTTAGATACTGATCTCTTCAGTGATCTAACTCAAAGCTCGGCTTGTTCGGCATATTTACCAAGCATGACTTCACTTGTACCTGGAACAGAATGACCTGGAGAATGAGCTGAAACAATGACTCGTTGCCCTTACCACCTTCTGACTGCACCACAGGCTCCTCCTGTAAAATCTTGCTTGTCTGCTCCACCTCATGGTTTTAGAATAAAAAATGAGGATGCAAACTGGACCCCGGATCAAAGTCCTTCAGGAGCTGTCCTGGCTTTGGTCCCTGGTGACGTCTCCTGCAACAGCAGGTGAGGTGACAGACGTGCCAACCACACTGAGCTGACCTCACAGCATGTGTGCTTGAACTACACAGCACACCGCAGCCACCAGTCTGTACAGTTAGGTAATGCACAATATACTGCTAAGTTGCCATGTGCTGTTGGAGCTCATGGAGACGCTGCTTCCCATTTCAGACCCACCATATTTGTCTCAAAGCGCCCTCCAAAGCCTCTAGTCTAGGGTGGGATGGCCTTTGACGATGTGACCAGGAGGGAAGAACCCAAGGTTATTTTATAAGCACTGTGCCCCTGAGAATAACTAGAAGGCGAGCCATTTCTAACGGATATGACTATATCAACCCCATGATACACAAGTGCCTGCCATGGGAAAGACAAGCGCTAGAGAGAAAGGTCATGAACTCCAGCTGCTGCCTCAACTTCCCCAGATGGTTTCTGCAGGATGTTGTAAACATGCAATCTGATGATGTCATTTCTATTGTTGCTGTTTGTTCTTTTACTTGGAAGCCTCACTGGAGGGGACTCCAGCAGGCTGCCTTACTCACTTTCTGCAGCATGTTTGGAGCACCCAATTTAATGTCTATCTACATATGCACCTACTTACTGTTGTGCGATACTTTGATTGTGCTCTGACAAATGAAGTTTTTGTGGAGTCAGGGCGGAGCTGTCCACTAGCTGACCATGAAGGTTTGGAGGACTACAGAGACAAGTGACAGGAACTGATAAGGCAGGGCAGAGACAGGACCGAGGAATGGAAAAGGTAGGGAGCAACTGGCAGCTGCTCCCTGTTCTCTGATCTTTCAGGTTCTTCCCCAATATTTGACTCTTGATTTTTTATTGATTAAGATCTATTAGATTAACGCTTCATCTGGTAACCAAGTTTTGGGGCACAAATTCACAAAACAGCTGCCTGCCTATGGCTTTGCAGCCACAGGCATGTGCCAGAGCTGCACACAGGAACTGCACCCACTGGGGTCACCACACCGTTGGCTTTTCCTTTTCCTCCCAAAGCCTCTGAGCAAGTCTGGGATTTTCCTGTTGCAATCTCTCTACAGCCAATTACCACAAGTTCCAAATTCCATAGGCACCTGGGCTCCAAACACTGCCGATGTTAGCCCCTCAGCACCCGCAGCTCTGCCCTCAGGCAGCTCTGTGCTTTCGCTTCCTGCCATCATGGCTGCTGCTTTCACATGTTCCCTGGTCAGCGGTGCAGACACCTGGCTCTTTGGCTCCTCTTCCCCAAGGGTTGTGGGCTTTCCTTGGACTCCCTCCTCACTGCTGACAAGTGATCAGCAGCAGCTGTCCTCAGCCAGGCTGAGTACCGCCTGTGTTCTCCGCTCAGATGTGCTATGCAGAGACAGCCAGCCTCACACTTCACTGCCATCGTCAGCAGATTGGTGAGACAACTGGGAATTCTTAAAGGGGAATTAGTTAAAAAGAGAGAGAGAGAGAATGAGTCTTTTCCCACATTAAAAAATGAGAAACATGCCGGGCGGTGGTGGCACGCGCCTTTAATCCCAGCACTCGGGAGGCAGAGGCAGGCGGATCTCTGTGAGTTCGAGGCCAGCCTGGTCTACAAAGCGAGTTCCAGGAAAGGCGCAAAGCTACACAGAGAAACCCTGTCTCGAAAAACCAAAAAAAAAAAAAAAAAAAAAAAAAAAAAATGAGAAACATGCCGGGCAGTGCTGGCGCACGCCTTTAATTCCAGCACAGGAAGGCAGAGGCAGGTGGATCTCTGTGAGTTCAAGTTCAGCCTGGTCTACAGAGTGAGTTTCAGGACAGCCAGAACTACACAGAGAAATCCTGTCTCAAACCCTCTCCCTCCCAAAAAAAAGGGAGACACTATTATGATGGAGGGAGTTAGGTCTCTGTGTGATTCCACAATGGACGGTTTAAAACTGGAACAATTAAATGAGGGGATAGTTAACTTAGCTGGGATTTATGTAATGTTAATTAAAAATATTATTGGTTTAGTAATTCTTGTTTTATCCATAATAAAAGTTAGTTGATATGAGTGCCAAGACACAGGCCTTAGAAAACGTTACTAAAGAAAATAATGCAATTTTAACCGATAAGTTGCAAGCCTTAGAAAAACATATTAAAACAGATACTAGAGATATTCAGACACAGACAGAGGAATTTAAAGGAGAATCAACCTCACCATTACATTATAAAATTAGAGAGCAACAGCCCAAGGTTATCAAAAAACCAACCTTAATATATCTAGTCACCTTATGGGAACAACCACCAAATGACAGGTATCCCCAAGGCTTGTAAGAGCTGACTGGATCCCTGTGGAAATGTAAGATTTGAGGAGATTTAAGGAAGCAATAGTATCATATGGCATGCATTCACTTTTGTGAAGTAAATTAAATTCATGGTCAACTAGTAACAGAATTGACCCACAAGACTGGAGAGAGTTGGTTACAGCAGTATTGGAACCTGGTCCTCAATTACAGTGGAGGACATGGTAGAAAGATGAGACTAGGACCACTGAACAATGAAACAGGGCTAGAGGTATTGAAATCTCCCAAGATCAACTTCTTGGAGAGGGGAATTATGCTGTTATACAAAAAACAGTCTCCATATGATGACCACACCCTGGACCTATGCTGTGCAGTAGCTTTGAATGCTTGGGACAGAATTGAAGGAAGTCAGAAAGAGAACTGAGTCATTTACTAAAGTTATACAGGGCCCAAAAGAAACCTTCACTGATTTCTTACAAAGATTGACTTCAGCTGTAGAATGATACCAAATCCAGAAGCTAGACAAATAAGTGAATCTTTGGCTTTTGAAAATGCTAATTCACAATGCAAAAGGGTAATTAGGCCTTTAAAGGCAAGATCAGCACCCATAGAGGAATGGATCCAAGATACAGCCAATATTCAATCTTATAACCATGATGATGTTTGGATAGGAGGGGTGATTTCCAGAGGCTTGAAGAAAAATCAAAATGTCAGATGTTTTAATTGTGGTAAACCAGGTCACCTAAAAAGGGATTGTAGGCAGGGCATTGCTAGAAACAATGTTTTTTTCTAGGAATAATCCAAACAGAAGGTCTTCTGGAGTGTGCAGAAGGTGCATCAAAGGCACCAATGAATGCAGATCAACAAGGAACAGACAAGGTAACCCTTTACCATCAGGAAATGCCTTGGAGGGCCTCTTGCAGTGCTCCATGTCAAATTTGGTTCAGTCATTCCCTGTTACCATGGGGAAAACTTCTTCACAGAGCAATTAAATGACCTAATGCCTATCATAAAAAACCATACTGCTCTGGATGATAGAACAGCTTTAGAAGATAAAACAAAAATTTCAGGAGAAACCATAAAGCAAATATTATAAAGATCAGATTCGAACAAGAGAGACCTCTTGATTAGAAGAAGTGATAGTTCATCTAACAGTGTGACCATTCAATCTAAACTAACTTATAAAACTAACATATGCTTTTCATTTGATCAGCTATAACTTGCCAAAGTTAGGGTTGGGGCAGGGTTTTGTTTTTATCTTTCCAGAACGAAGACATCCAGCTAAGAAATCTGAAGACCACTGGACAAATGAGACATATAAAGAAAAAGGACATCCAGAGAAAATGTCCCAAAAGTGTAAATTTGCCTATTGGAATATCACATCTCCAACAGGATAAAATTTCATAAATCTTTCCAAATGTTTGTTTTTGCTCTTCTCTACAGACATTTAATGCAAATGGTCTTTTTGTAGTCCCAGTTCAGTTAAAAAATTAAAGCTGTATTTGGAGTAGGAGAATGGCTCTCTCCTTCTCTAAACTCAAGCATGTTTGTTAAGGGAAAACCCAAAATCTCTGTGTCATGTTAGAAGAGTCATCTGATATGGGAACAGAAGAAAACCAAAAATTAAGGGACTATTCTATTGACACTAATCTCATAATCCTTTGGTTTTATTTTGACTCTTTAAAACCTTTTCTTAAGGTATAAATATTACCTCAAAAATTTTAAGATTAATATATACGTATATTTAAAACTTTTTGTCATAATATTAATTGTCATATAGAGTACTGATTCTAGAAAAAGTCTTTATCTACCTTCCTGTACTTGATTTCGGGTTTGAGTCTCTATCAGGTTACTAGGAATTAAGTTTTTGTACTCTGGATGTACATAACAAATTATGTTCCTTTAACCTCTTCGAGGTCTGCTGCATATGACATTTAAAATGTTTAAGTTTTCTGCAGTGAACTATGACCATGTCAACAGTGACCTTTGAAGTCTCTAAAAGGAGGATGATTGCGCCTAGATTGTGGTAATGCCATGAAGCTGACAAATACCACCCAAAGATCG